GGGAAGCGCGAAGGTGAAGTTTGGGGTGGAGGTGGCTCGATGATCAGTTAAGGGGCGCTAATTCGCAAAATATGGTGATTTTAGGTGATTTTTAACTACTTGACTGTGATTTGAAATCAGAGTTCCAAAGACAACTGAAGACAATAGTTCGTTATTAGAAGTTATTCAGTATAACTTTACTGGAAAAATTAATCTCAAAATTGAGTTGCCGTCCCCGGCGTTGTCAGTGACGTCGTAAGATTTGTGTGCTATTTTTACCAATTAACCCCTGAATAAAAAATAGTTGAGCCATGTAGTACCTTGGAAATCAACCCAGAAACACTGTAGTTTGTTGATTGTTTATTAGAGCGTCCCTTCGCTGGCAATTCGTCAAAAACTTGATTATTTAATAGGTAATTTAAGTTCTATTTTGGGGCATCCAGTGGTATAAAATACTGAAATTTTTGCATCACCGCCAACCATGATGGCACTGACGTGATGTTGACTCTCATTACATCAGCACCCCGTTCTTTAAATTATGGATACGCCACTTTGCTGAAAACAATAGTTAAGACAAAATATATATTTCCATTCGTTTTGTTGTTCATGTAAATGTCTGATAGATTATTACTTTAAAACAATGCTAAAAACACAGTGTTAATACGAACATTTACACATATAAAGCTGAGCTGAGCAACTCCGAATTAAGGTGGAATTAGTGGTGGTTAAGTGACGTTTGTCATGCACTGTATCATGCGCTATAGAAATGGAAGGCCATAATGTAATGGAAATGAACCTCTCTGGTATTGCCGACAGTACAATCAGTGTAAAATATATTCCAGTGTGGATTTAAACAATGTCCTAATGGCAATGTTCAAAATAAATGTAAATTAAAAAAATATGACTGTTGGGGTGAGAGGGGGTGTATCTTTGTAGTTAGGCAGTTATATACTGTCTTTATGTCTAAACAAATTTTAATTTTAACACCGGGTCTCCATTTTAAAAGCTCCTAAGAGTTTCGTGGAGGTCCTTTTCGTCACTCTGTTTTTGAATATGTATGGTTGAGTTTACTTTGTCATGGATTGCAAAGAACATGAATAAAGAATTAAAATGAAAAATGTAAAAAATATGTCTATATGCGTACAACAACCAGATTATAGAATTTACTAATAGATCAATAACTTTCCAATGATAACCACATGAACTACTTCACCAAATTTTAGAAACAGTAGCAGTATTGTACAAATAAACGGTATCATACTTTTTATGTTAATCATCTATTTATTTTGGTGCACATTGATCATGCAGTGCTCCTATCATTCCTATCATTATCAAAATCAAACGCACAATGAACAGATCATAATTATGCCTATACAAAAAAAAATTTATTAGATCATCACTCCAGCCCGCGTCAACAAAATTGGGAAATATTGATGCGGAAATTTAAAAAAATGTTTCTTTTTCTGGGTCGCATCATATTTCAACAGCATAAAAAACAATGTAATTTTGTGATTGGAAATACATTTTCTTTAAAAAAAAAACAATAAAAATTAAACCTGTTTTTATACAATATTGACAATATTCTTGCCAAATAAAAAAGTCCCGCCCTCGTCTATTAAAAGAAGAAGTTGTTCTGATTAAAAATAATTGTGATCTAATAATTGTTCCTATGTGCCTTAAATTGGCTATAGTGGGACAGAATGATAAACTATAAATATCTTGTTTAGTATTTTCAAAAAAAATCATATTCTTTTTCATTCTGTACAATGGTTGCCAAATTGGCTATAGTGGGACACAGTGATGAAGTACAACTGTCTTCTTCAATATTTTCTAAGTTAATCCTTTTCTTTTCATTGTGTTCAATGGCTGCTAAGAACACATAGAAAAAATTATTAGATTATCACTCTTTAAAAAAAAAACGATGAGGGAGGGCGGTTTTTGTTTTGTTTTGTTTTTAAATCAGAACAATTCGTTATTGCGCTTTTGTTTTTATTGATGAGGGAGGGACTATTTATATTTGGCTAGTAATAGGCCTAGTAAATATTGTATAAAAACTGGTTTAATTTTATATATATTTTTTTTAAGAAATACATCTGAAGTCATAAAATAGCATTGTGTTACGCTGTTCAAATAATTGATGCGGCAAAAAAAAAAAAAAAAAATTATTCCCACATCAATATTTAAAAAAATTTTCCTGGGGGCTGGGCGGGGGAGTGATAATCTAACAATTTATTCAGTGCCTTAAATTGGCTATAGTGGGACAGAGTGATAAACTAAAAATATATTGTTTAATATTTTCCAAGGTAATCCTATTCTTTTTCATTGTGCCCAGTGGTTGCCAAATTGGCTATAGTGGAACACAGTGATACCACAAATACAAATGTGCTTGACGATATTTTATTGCGTTAGAAATGTGATTTAAAAATGTATATTGAATCACGCACTGAGTATTCAATATATTTTCACGATAGGTTGGGCAAAATACATATAGGCCCCCTAATTGATTCTCCTGACGCAAATCCAGGTATTGTCTATCGTCACGAAAAGAACATTTACCATTCAATAATAGACATAGGCGTAGATCCCGGGGGGATGGGGGATATATCCCCCCAATATTTGACAAGGGGGGGATGGTCCATTGTATCATCCCTCCAATATTTTGACTACGTATGGGATAAAATGGAGCTTTACACACTTCAAAAGACTGTCACAGAAATAATTTGCACTGTCTTATGCGCTTACAAAGATGAAAATTAGCACAATGTATTAATGTTGATAACAACATTATTTTATCTGGTACCAATCTAAGCTCTTCTTTTCTTAGATGTTAGATGTGCTTGCAAAGAGAGCCACATTTCACACTGAAGGGTGTGTACGACATCAGTAA